TGGTTTTCTACAACACTTGACAAAGTCCACTGGACCTATAAAGTAGTTCAAATATCGTATGTATCATGTTTAGATACATTATTGGTTAACTTTTATTTTTTATTTATTTATTTTTTTTGTTGGCTAACTTTTATAATCACTCTAGGATATACGACCATCATTGATAGTATTATTTTTCTGGGAAACTGCATGTCAATTTTCAAAAAAACATGTTTACAGTGATTGTTAGCACATAATACATGCTTAATAAATGCTTATTAAACCAATGAATGTCAGAAATACGCTTACAACATGAGATGTTTGTAAGTTGAAAATTGCTTGCAATTTAAGTCTTGATTTTAGTGACATCTTGTGGATATAAAAAGTTTTGCTGATATGTTACATTTTAATTTTTTAGTGAAACAAAAATAACTCCATCTTTAAAATGTAAATTTTTAATTTCATAGAAAAGCTATTCTCCTCTACTAGAAAAGGATGACTGGATAGGCAGCCACAGAAGCTTGTCTGGTGTTCTAGCAGAATATTCTCATTAGGTACCTAAGGAATCCTTTTGCAATAATGACCTGCTTATAGAATGCAGAACTTTAATTCAGTGAATAGATAAGTGCTATACTTTAAGGAAATCAGATTACTACTAATTATACTTTTCCCCAAATTTTGTACTGTTTGTATTTCTACAAAAACAATCTAAGAGATCTTGTGTATCACCTTGTTAATAACATTGCTAAGGTAAAAAAAAAAAATCAGCAGGAAAACACAGCTTAAGTGGCTAAGAATCACCACACTGAGGTGGAATGGGAAATTTACCTCTGAGGAAACAAGTCCCTGGGTTCTGGTCCCAGTTCTATTATAATATTGCAGCTGAGTGACAGTGAGAAAGTCACTTTATTCTTCTGATTTTAGTTTTCTCATCTATAAATGAGGCAGTTAAACAAAATATCTGAAGTCCTAAGGAATTAATTTCTATGACTTGGTAATTCTAGGACTACAGCATTCTCCTTGTCTGCCAAAAAAGAGATTTTTAAAGTAACGAGATTTCGAATTAGTCAAGCATAAGTCTGCTCATCACTATTTTACTTTGGAAGTACAGGTTCTCCTCATTATTCATGGATTCCACACTACGAATTTGCCTCTTCTCTTAAAATTTATTTTTAATCTCAATACCTGCGGTGCTTTCTTAGTCATTTGCAGACATGTGCACATGAGTGAAAAATCTAAGTGGCTTGATGCACTCGTTTCCAACTGAGGTCAAATAACGTAATGCACTGACTGTTCTCTTACTATAAACAAGTGTCCCTTTGTGGTCCATTTAGTGCTAGCTTTTTGGCATTTTTGTGCTTTTTAAAGTGACTTTACTTTTTAAATATCCCTCAAGTCTGATGCTCAAGGGCTGTGTAGTGTTCCTAAGTGCAAGAAGGCTCCAGTGTGTCTTACAAAGAAAATGTGTTAGATAAGCGTTGTTCAGTCATGAGTTACTCTGTGGTTGGCCGCAAGTTCAACAATATGTGTATTAAATAAGGTGTCTTTAAACAGAAACACATAAAACAAACAAGACTATGTATTGATTGGCTGACAAAAAATGCTGTGACCAGAGGCTCATAGGAACCTAACTCTGTGTCTCCCCCAGAAGCAACGATTTGGTGTTCACTCTCATTCAGCATTCGTGGTGACTTTAAAGAACGGAACTACAGCGAATAATGAGAACTGACTGTGCTCGTAAAACATTTTCTTAAAAGTGTCATTCCACAAAATGTTTCTGACAAGCATCTCTGAAGGACCAGACATTGTACTAAGGTGCCTGAAGAACAAAGATCAACATGACAGAATCCTTACATTCAAATTCTGTACTTAAAGATTTCACAGGTTGTGGGCTTACTTTGAAATTTTCATTAAGTGAAGAAAAAGATTAGAGCAGCAAGTATGAGAAATGGGGGAACTGGCAAATTCTTGCTCTTACACAAATCAAAGCATCTACAGGTCTCTTTCTCCTAGCTCCACAGATCCAAAATCTAACTTAGTTGAAATGCCAGAGCCCTGATTAAAAGTAACTTCTTCATTCTCAAAACTGGTATCCATGAATGCATATATCCACCAAAAAACATTTCATGCAGTCCAGCTATGTGTCAAACACCATTCTAGGCACTGGGCATATATAGCTGTGAAAAATTCAGGCAAAGTTCCTGTCCTCTTAGAACTTCATCTAGTAAAGGTTGGTGGATAATGCACATTTATATGGTATGTGTGATCAGTGAATGCTTTTTTTTTTAAAGGCAAGGTAAAGTATAATAAGTGAAAGGGGGAGCAGACAGAGGAATTGGGGAAGGCCTCTCTCAGGATATAAATGAGCAGAAATTTGAAAGATGTGAAGGAATAAGGCATAAATTTGGAAAATCCCATTCAGGCAGAGGGAACAAAATGTGAAAAGGCACTAAGGCAAAAATGTGTTGGCCGGTATATTAATGAAACAGTAGTAAGCCTTAGTGGATTACTCAAGGGAGGTAGGAAATAAATCAGGGAGATAATAGGGACCATACCATGTAGGTCCTTGTAGGGTACTGACATAATTTGGCTTTTCCTCTGATTCTCATTTGGAAAAGACAACTGTAACTGATCTGTGGAGAAAAGACCCTATTGGGGCAAGAGCAGAAGCAGGCAGATCAGTGAGGAGGCTTTTGGAATAACCCAGAATAGAGAGTACAGTGGTTTAAAATTACAGTAGAAGAGAGAGTTAATGAGAGGTGCCTAGATTTCAGATATATATATTTTCTCAGATATATATATTTCTTCAGGTATATTTTTTCATATATATAGATATATATTTTTTACAGGGAGTTGAAAAAGGGAAGTCACAAATGAAGCAAAGACTTCTGACTAGAGTAACTAAGAAAAAGAGTAAAGAAGGTGTTAATTGAGATTGGGAAACCAGAAGTAACAGGTTGGTTTGGGTGGGGGAAATCAGGAAGTACAACACCTCCAAGTTAAACACACATTAACATGCTGGAGATGTCTACCAGACACCTAAGAAGTTTGCTGAGTAGAAATGTGGTTATGTGAGTCTGGAATACAGGGAAAAGATAAAAAATGAAGATATAAATTTGGCAGCTAGAAGCATCATAGAAGATAGAGATATGAAACTGAATGTGATTGCTTAAGGAATGTTAAGGGGTGCAAGGACCAGGTTCCAGGGTACTCCTAATTTTTAATGAGAGAAGACTGGGGAATTGGAAAGTTGAAAAGAACAAAAGGAACTGGGAAGGAGGAGTTAGCAAGAGAATGCATCCAAGAACAAATGGAGAATGTGTTTAAGAAGAAAGTTCTTTACATGAAAACTAGCCTGGACTCCCCAAAAGGGTAGCTGCAAGAAGAAAATAAGGATTATTCTATATTAAAAGGATTAAAGAAACATAACCAACTGAAGGCAATACATAAACCTTGGTTGGATTCTGGTCTTAAAAAAAAGTAACAGCTCTAAAGAACATTCTTGGAACTACTAAAGAAATTTGAAAATGTACTGGACATTAAATCATACAGTTAAATTATGTTTGTTTTGTTATGTGTAATAAGGGCATTTTGGTTACACGGGAGTATTCTTATTCTTAGGAGACACATGCTGAAGTATTCAGGGGGATTTATTATGACATCTGCAACTTATTTTGCAATGATTGAGTAAAAAAATTATATGTTAAATTATATGTTAAAATGTTAATAACTGTGTAATCTAGGTGGAGGGTATAATTCACTGTACTATTCTTTGAGCTTTTCTGAAAATGTGAAAACTTTCACAGTAAAAGTTATAAAATTGTAAGGGACAAATAACTCAGTGGAAATATGGGCAAAAGACATGTATAGACATTTCCCAGAAGAAGAAATGATAAAAGGCCAATAAAGAGAAAAAGATACATAGCACCATTTGCAATCAGGACAATGCAAAACCATCAGGAGAGTGTATTTCACATCTACCAGAGTAGTCAAACTTAAAGAGAATGAAAACATCAAGTGTTACTGAAGATGAGGGATAATACAAACTCTGGTAGGACATCAGCGTTAAGACTAACTAGTTTCCTAAACACCTCTGAACCCAGTAACTTCTATCCTGTAAACAGGCCTCAGAGAAACTCATCCACATATGCACTGTAAAAAAGGTACAAGAATACTGACAGTAATATTGTTTGTAATGGTAAAAAAAAAAAAAAAATTGGAAATACCCCAAATGTTGAGTGTATGGGTATTTATTTCATCTTCATTATAACTGTTAATTTTCTTTAAAATACTACCTATATTTAAATATTAATTTATCTATATCTACACACTGTATATGTAACTTCATGTTTCAAAAAGCTAAAACTACGATCAATTGCCAAAAATGGTGTTGACAGGTCAAACAAGATGAAGAGTAAGAGCTAACACCTAGATCTTGCTGGGTGGGCCCTGAAGTCCCAGGTTAAGTGAAGTCAATCAAAACCACGCGTAACAAGCACAAGTCTTTTAGTATCAAAACAACTTTTTTCTTTTCTTTTGTATTGGAAAAAGGTTACAGAAAATCAAATCTATCAATTAAAAACAGTGAAGAGTAAACTTTCCATGTCCAGCTAGTTCTATCCATCTTCCTGGAGGAAAAGGTTTTTAGAAGAGAGGGCAAACTTATTTCTTCATTTTCAAAAATTCTCTATTCAAATGCACATTGCCATGTGAAGAAACATGTATAAGAGTGAACATATAATTTATAGTCCCAATCAGGATATCTGAGAATGAAAGGAGGGCTACAGATAATTTTGCTGTTGTAATGGCATAAAATGGGGTTGTCTCAGGCAAACTGGTCTGTATGGTTTTCCTATGAATAAGCCAAATTCATTGTAGTGCCCCAGTAGGTTTTTTGCTGAATGGAACAAGGGATCCCAGGAAAAATGAGGTCCTTAGAAGCAGTTCAGTCAGACTTCTTCAAGATTCTATTCTGGTATGAAAATTATGGTTACTAGTGACAGATCTAAAATGATACTCACTCAGTTGATGGTATATAGGTTTATGCAATCCTTGAAGTTTAACTGATGCCATAGCAGCCAGTTTGCCAGGGGGCTGCATTTTCCCATCTAAGAGATACCAAACCCGAGCAAAAGTGGCCCATTGCTAGGGGGGAAAAAAAAATTTAAAAAGAGAGAAAACAAAGAAAATTCTAATTAAAATGGAAATAACCAAGTTTATTATTATATACCATCATGAGTATTCTATAGTTAATATTAATAATAAATCAATCACAAAGAGCCTTCATTTTGTATTCAATTCTGTTTCTGGAAAAGGAGGGTCTTTTTTCGCTATACAAAGATTAACACAGTAATTTTTCCTGCCTCCTTTTCTATCTGCAATATGGATGATGCTTTATCTAAAACATTTCAAAGATATATTTTCCTTTATATTATGACTTTTTTTGTATCGCATAAAATAGAATCTGGAATGGTAATGAGAAACTCTTATGAAAGTAGAAACTGTTTATAAAGGTCTTCAAAAATATTTTGAGACTAATAGATATTAAATTGAAAGATGAGTGACCAAGTGGGAACTGAAGACTACTGAGAAGTTCAAATCCATGGGAGAATACAGTAACAGAATATAGCTGGACAAGTATAGATGGATGATGTTGAATAAACTTAAATTTTAAGTAGCTGCTTTAGACATCTTTAGGCTGCCTCAGGCATAAACCATTGTCTTTGCAGTATCCATCAGTAACTTCAAACTCTAAGAAAATTCCAGCCCAGAAAGATCTCAACCAGATGTTTTCTCTATCCACATACATAAGTTGCTGAACAATGCTGGAAAAAGTACAACCAGGCTAACTGGTTTTAGTTTAAAATTACAAACTTCGAATCGGCTTCTAAACTGCTCACCATTTCTGTTTTTCTCTCTCACTTTTCTAGTTTCTACCTTGTTCTCCTCACATATCTTTTGTCAGATTTACCTCTTAAGTATTTCATATATTTTTTAAATTTTTATTGTTATGTTAATCACCATACATCATTAGTTTTTGATGTAGTGATCCATGATTCATTGTTTGTGTATAACACCCAGTGCTCCACGCAGAACGTGCCCTCTTGAATACCCATCACCAGGCTAACCCATTCCCCACCCCCCTCCCCTCTAGAACCCTCAGTTTGTTTTTCAGAGTCCATCATCTCTAATGGTTCGTCTCCCCGTCCGAATTACTCCACTTCATTCTACCCTCCTGTTATCTTCTTCTTCTTTTTTTTTTTCTTAACATATATTGCATTATTTGTTTCAAAAGTATACATCCATGATTCATCAGTCTTGTACAATTCACAGCGCTCACCATAGCACATACCCTACCCAATGTCTATCACCCAGTCACCCCATCCCTCCCACCCCCCACCACTCCAGCAACCCTCAGTTTGTTTCCTGAGATTAAGAATTCCTCATATCAGTGAGGTCATATGATACATGTCTTTCTCTGATTGACTTATTTTGCTCAGCATAACACCCTCCAGTTCCATCCATGTCGTATATTTCATATATTTTGATGTCACTGTAAATGGTATTGTATTTTTAATTTAAATTTGATTGATTGTTACTAGTATATGGAAATACACTTCATTTTTTGCATGCTGCTCTTGTAACCCGCAACCCTGCTAAACTTATTTATCAGATCTAGTAGCTTTTCTTAGATTCCATCTGATTTTTTACATAGAAAATCATGTTCTTTGCAAATAAAGACAGCTTTTAGCCCATACCCTTTCCCTAGTACTCTCAGTTTAGGACTAAGAAAAATTCAAACAGTGGGAACTGTATAGGACAATCTTTTGTCTTCAGTAAATTGCAAAGGAAAAAAAATAGGAAAAAGAACCAATTTATTAAGAGAGAACTAAAAAACAGGAAATTATTAATTCTAGATCCTAAAACCAAAGGAACAGTAGAAATATTATGTATTTCTTTTTTTTAAAGATTTTATTTATTTGACAGAGAGAGATTGACAGCAAGAGCAGGGGGGAGAGGGAGAGGAAAAAGCAGACTCCCCGCTGAGCAGGGAGCCCAATGCAGGGCTTGATCCCAGGCCCCAGGACCATGACCTGAGCTGAAGGCAGAAGCTTAACTGGCTGAGCCACCCAGTTTTTATGTATTTCTATATTTTATGTATTTTTATGTTTTCTATATTTTTATTTTATGTATTTCTGTAACAAATTTTATGTATTTCTATAACATATATGAGAAAATTGAACATACTACTCATTTGAGATTAAGGAATTATAATTAATTTTTCGTTTGTCTTTGATAAATGGTATTGGGATTATATTTTTTAAAAGAATCCTTATCTTGTAGAGAACATATTGAATTCTTTACTTACGAAATAACAGGAGTCTAAGATTCACCTCAAATTCATAAGAAAAGGAAAGAAGTGAATGGAGGTACAGAGGAAATAATATTGGCTATGAGGTTTTTGAAACTGGGTGATACCTACTTTTATATGTGATTGAAATTCTCCATAATAAAGTTAAAGAAGAAGAACAACAACAAACCCTCCTGACCGCACTTAGCCACTGCTTCATTTCTTTCCTCTCCTTTGTGGCAACATTTTTCCAAAGAGGTTGTCTTTACTCCTCATTCTCTCTCTTCAACCTACTCCGACCTGGCTTTTGCCCTCCCACACTCATCGCCCTCACTCTACCGCCTGCCAAAGTTACCAGGACCTTCATGTCGCTAAATCTACTGTTCAATTCTAAGCTTCAGTATAGGTGATCATTTCCTCCTCCTGGGTATTCTTTCCTCACTTGATTTCCAGGACACCACCCTCTGTTGGTTTTTTTTCCTACTTTGCTTCTTCTCTTACCTCTTGTGTCTGAAATGTTGAAATGTCCCAGAATTCAGTTCTTGGTCCTTCTCTCTTCTCAATACACACTTCCTCAAAGACTACATCCAGACTCATGTGTTGAAATGCCATTTTCATGCTCAGGACTCTCAAATGTAGAAATTTACATCTCTAGCCTGGACCTTTTCCCCCCAACTCTACACTTGTATTCAATTGTCCACTTGGCAGCTGCCCAACAGTGCTTTTAAAACCATATGTAGCAAAGATTAGTTTTTCCCCATTCCATTGCAGATCAATTATTCTGACTAAAAATAATCCCAAACTTTGTTTAAAAAAATTAAAATACTGCTATATCATCAAATTGCTATAAAAGTTTTAAAATGTTTAAGCTTATTTCCTGTATATGCCTCATCCAAGAGAGGTAACAAACAGTTCAAGAAAGCAATCACACTTGGAGCAGGACTTGGCTAAGAAGCATCTCAGTCAGACCAACATACCCAAAACTGAACTGCTCTTCCACCTGAAACCTGCTTCAATTTCAGTCTTCCCTATCTCAGCTGACGGCACACCCTTCCAGTTATGGAAACAAAAAACCTTGGAGTAACCCTTGTTTCTTCTTTTGTTGTCAGTTCACATTCAATTCTTCAGGAAATCCTTCTGGCCCCACCTTCAAACAGAACCAGACCACTTTTCAACACTATCATGTCCAGCCTGGATTACTGCAGTTGGTCTCCAAATGGATTCTTTGTTTCTATCTTCCATCAATCCCCATCTCTGAAAAGTCTAAACTCAGCGGCCAGAGTGCTCCTTTTAACACCTAAATGACATCATGTTACTACCTGGCTCCAAATCTTTCAATGGGTCCTCATTTTACTCAGTAACGAACAAATTCTCACAATGATCTACAATGCCCTATCTGATCCTCCTTATTACCTCTGATCTTCTCTCCGAATACTCTTTCGCGGGGGGAGCGGGGGGGACATGAAAAGGTCTGGCTGAAAAGAGAAAAGTGCCGAAGAGAACAGCGAGCAGTAGCCAGAATCACGACCCTCGTATATGCTTTCTCGAGGCATCCTGGCTTTCCTGCCGACTCAGGATCACTAAATCCACCCGAGCCACTGACTTCCTTCTGCCAGTGTAATGAATTCCATCAAGCTACAAGAGTTCGAGCTCACCTGGGGTGCCTTGGAGAAACTCGACATGTTTCCCCCACCAGCAGGACCGTCCTTTGCGCAGGATCCAAGGCCAGACCTCAGCATCACTAGCCCGGCGGGAAACGTATAAACCCAAGCATGACAGTTCCTAGGCCAGCCAGGCCTCGTCAGCTTCTCTGCTCTTCCTGGGTCTCCTCCAATCTTCCCGTGTTAGCAGTTTCATCATGAAAGGAGGAAATAATGCAGCTATTGAGAGAATAACTCCCCAAAAGAACCCACCGGCCGGAAAAGCTGCAGCAAACAGACGGAGGGCGCACAATTCCCAGCCGACCAAAAGTGGAAGGGAACCGGAAATATATCAGTAGCGCGCGACTGTTTGGATGTGGAAACCGGGACTTGAAACATTAGTTCAGCTCTAAGGAGATGGATCGGTACCTACTCCTTGTGATCTGGGGAGAAGGAAAAGTCCAGTCCGCAGCGGGTGGGGAAGCGGAGCATGGGCCCCGGGAGTTGTCCGTGGAGGGTACCGAGAAGCTGCCGGGTAAGCGCGGGGCTGAGAAAGAGCGGGAACGGCTTCGGGGGAGGGAAGAAATTTAAGTTTGAGATCCAGTTCTGCAGGGGAAGGACCTATCTCGAGTTCTCCCGGGGATTTGTTTCTCTCTGGGATCGGCCCAATAAGGGCTGACAAATGTCGTTATCTTAATAGAAAAATAGGGACAAATTTGTGGATGCAAAATCCCAGCGCTCAGAAGTTCTGGGCACAGTAAAAATTTAACTGAGCAATTCTCTGTGCTTTAGGAGTGGAATGTCTGCTTGTTGGAAATATATGCATTCAGTAGTGTTTCCGCCTCCTGTGTGTTCCAAATGCAGGTAATACAGAAGGGAACAAGATGGAAAAGGGGCTTACTCTCCTAGAGTTTACCATCCTAATGGGAGGAGACATCCTACACATAAACTAAGCTAAAAAAAAAAAAATGGTAAATTTAAAACAGTTGTAACCGTTTGAGATTGCACTCCTTTTTTGCGGTTTCTGTCTAATCCGTATTCCACTTTATTTGTTTTGATTGGGCAAGCATTTTGAGGAGAAAATGTATGTGGTTGTATACAGAGTATTGTGGCAGAGTTTCCCTTCTCTGCTTAAAATTATTCTTTCGGGGGATTTTTGGATTTGTGTTAACTGGCTAGCATGTACAAACTGGGCGTCTTTCTTCTCTTTGCATTTATTATATTGAAACTAGAAAATGTGTAGTTCTTTTATGTGCAGTATAATGTTCTTGAGAGTCTCTGATGGTGAAATTGGAATGGGCCTAGATGACATAACTCTTGAGCCCACTGAGTTAGTTTGTCTTTTCTTTTTCAGACTTAACAGCAGCAAATGTTTATCATCTCCTGAAGAGAAGCATTAGTGCTTCAATGAATCCAGAAGATAGTACTTTTCCCGGTAAGTATAGCACAAACCCCTTATTTCTCTGACACTGCATTTGTATTGGTAGTAAATTTAATTAATTTGGTCACTTAAAGGTACAAGACATATTTGTTGACTGTGCATAAGCCACTGGGATAGGGAATTAAGGAAATACAAACCTGAAAAAGATGATATCCCTCTCTTCTTTCTGCTTCAGTGTAACCAAATTGTATGGAAATTACTTTAGGTTCTCAGCTTGACTTTTGTGCCCTTTATGGGATTTTTTTGCCCATCTTTAGTTCCATATAAAATAGGGTAATGTGGCATTATTAGAAGGATTTGCGATTTTGTCCTGAGTACAAATACATTAATGCTCTTATACCCATTTCTTACCATTTCTTTCCACCCTTACCTCCTACAGATTCTCTTTAAAGCACTTCATAATTGTTAAACACAGTGATCCTTTCCCCATTCTTATCTGTTTTAACTTTTTCTAAGTATTTGGCTTTTTTGACCGCACCTTTGCTCTTATAAAAATCTTTCTTCCTGTGGCTTCTATTAGCATTATATAGATCCATCTATTTATTTTTTGATAGTTATCTTCTCTTTCACTTCCTCTTCTTGGCCCCTTGCGAGTGTCTTTCAAAGGCTCAGAGAAAAGAGATAACCAAAACAGGCCAAGGCCTAAAAGCTGAAGGAAGCTTCTGGAGATGCTAGGGATAGGGGGCTCATTTTGATAACGTAATTCTCATGACTGTACTCTGTTCCTTTCTCTCTTCTTTCATTAGAGAACCTCTTGTCTGTCAGGTTTAAACTGTCACCCTTGGGAAGTTATTTCTAGTTTTGTGCTGCCCTAGTCCTTTGCCCAGTTGCAGTAGTACTCATTAAATTTTCAAGTTGGTATAATTTAAGTCAGTACTGCTATTACTGCAAGAAAGATTTTCTTTCACTTGTGCCTTGAAAGTATACATTAAAGAGCTATTGGGAGCATTCTAGGAATTCTCGTGATAAATTTCACTTCCTGTTTGGGTGGATAGACATTTCTTAATCCAGGCAGTCCTTGTTTGCCCAGTAATCTGGGACTATGTAAGTGATTGCACACTAAAGCCCCGCTAAGCAATCCTAATATAATCAATGGGGAAAAAAATCACAATTGTTCCATGACATTTTTTGTCAAAACATTAAAAAGTCTCTCACTGGTTATACATGTAGAAGAAATGGGGGAAAAAAAACCCAGTAAAACTAATAGTTATTTCATAGGCTGTAATTTGAAGCATTGGAAGTATTGAGAATTAAAGTGTTTCTTCTTCTTCTTCTTTTTTTTTTTTTGTAAAAACTTTATCAGAAGTGGTTTGAACAGTTCTTGTCACTTTCTTGTCAACATACAATTTAGGATATAGAGTGAGCATCTCTTCTATGTTTCGGTGAATTGCTGTACTCCCAAGTTTGTGTTAGCTTCCAGTGTTTTATCCTTTGCACTTTTAATGTCATGAAATATCTCTGAGTTCCTTTAGTGCAAAGGTATTTGCCAACGTCATTTTTCTCTGAGATGTCTTCATCCTTTTCGTCAGTGTTTTTATCACAGCAGCTATTTCTAGAATCCAATTACATTAGATTGGAATATCACTTTGTGTTTTTTGCTGCGCTTTCATCTTTTTTTTTCCTTTTGCCCATTTCCTCTTACTATTATCCAATTCTCTATAATATGTGGATTTAGCACTGGGAGACAAGAAGGAAACACAATTACATACTTGTCCTCTATTCATATGAACTGAATAACAGATGTGCAGTGACCAGTCAACAAACTTGGAAAGTAGCAATGCGATTGGTCACGGATCATGATACACATCTTTGATTTATGTATTGATTTGTGATCCGAGAAGCTAGCAGTGAAGTTTTACTTTATGCAATTACGGTTAATTAATAAACCTTGGTAACTGGAGTTTGAACCATGTTTTGGGGGACCAGGAATTATTGAAACCATGGTAACTGAAATCTGCATATCAGAACCATGCAAAGAAGGAACTGCTCATATTGAATTTCTTACCCTGGGAGCATTATTGCTTTGTGTAATATGGCTAGTTTGAGAAACTGGAAGTGCATTATGATTATAATTGAGCTAAGGCTGGAGAGGTAGGTGTAGCTATGTGGAGGACTTTGTAAATCATGTTGGGGTGTTTGGACTTTATCATAATAATAATTAGCCATTAAAGGCTTTAATGAAGGAAGGGACGTGCCATCTGTGTTAGTGAAGTATTCTGGCTACAGTAGAGTTGACAAATTTGAGAAAAGTGTAGTTATGAAGGGGCTGCTGCAGAAGACCAGCTGAGAAATAAGAGAGGCAGTCAGGGTAGAGGAAAATGGATAGATCTGAAGGAAATTACAGAGGTAGAATCCACCTGACTGAGTGTTGCATTGGTGTGATTTAGGAGAAGGGAAGAGGGAGAAAGCAATCAAGTGACATTAGGTTTCTGGCTTGGCTGTAGTGCAGATGGTGGCATTTAGTGAGGTAAGAGAATTAGGTTTTGAGGGACTAAGACAAGTCCAGTTTAGAACATGTACATACTCTAAACAGTTGCCTATAAGATGTCAAAGTGAAAATGTTCTGTAAAAGTTGGATACCTGTGTCCGGAACTCAAAAGGCTGGAGATAAAAAAGATTATAGAATCATCATATATAGATGTCAGTTCAAGCTGTGAGAGAGGATGGGATTGTTTATGGACAGTGAAAAGAGCAGAAAATTTTGAACTGAATCCCAGTATTTAAAGGAACTGAGCACTGGTTTTTAAAGGCATGAGGAGCACCTGGAAAGATAGCTTCCACAGAAGCCAAGTGTTTTAAGGGAGAAAGATGACAACTGTGTCATCTTTGATTCCTTTCTTACTTTTATGTTAAGGGGTCAAGTAACAACAGCCATAAGAGCTGCCACGTT